CATATGTATCTGTGGCGGTCTTTGGCATTTCTATGCTTTTACTTTCTGAGTCAAATGTTGCATTTTCCCAATAGCCTTGACTGCCAAACCCATCTGAGGAGCTCCCAATTATAAAAGGTTTCCGTGTAGCGCCCAACTCCCACTCCGCTTTGCCTTTGACTTTGGCTGCAGTTTTGCCTGCAGCTCAGGAATTTATGGCGCTGCCTCGGGCAGACAAGGATACGTGTGTGAGTTGTGTGTGGTGGTGCTGGGTGGCACTAATCAGCACACGTTTTAGCTCCCTGCCGTTGCAGGAAGTGGAAGTTGAAATTGTTAAAAGCAATAAAGCTAATAAGTGATGTGGCAAATGTGCGGCCTCGCTTTGGTTTCCCTGCACTGGTTGCTACGCCTGTGTTTGTGCGAGAAAAGGCCCCCTTTTCCATTTTCCACTTTCCATTCTCGACTTTCCCTCCGCCCAAGTGAACCATCGCAATCGAGCCTGGCTCGCCATTCTGTTCACGTGTCCATCGCTAGTTTTCGAGTCCGTTTCCACTGCCAGCAGCCGGGAAATCAGCAATTAGTGGCAGACCTAACGCCCCAAGCCTTAGGTCCTAGTTCCCTCCGATTGCCATGTACAGCGGAGGTCAGGAGCTTAGCATTTCCATTTAAATGATGCTTCAGTCGAAGGCGGCTTATTCAAGCAAACTAAAAACTACACTTCTTTTTAGCTTTTTCACCAGAAACCAAATTCACTTACAACTACTATGAACATGTTCTTTTTGAATGCCCCGCCTACAATGTGGGCTATTGATTGCACCGCCACTGTATGTGTGATAGGAGGCGAGTGTGCTTGCGAATGTGTGTGTGCGGAGGGGTGGGCACGCATTTCCGTCAGCGCCAACGGTTTCCGGGCACCCAGTGCACTTTGACTTGGCTGGCAGGACACTTGGGAGGCAGGACCTCCTGCTTCTGTGTTTGCCCGGCTTTTGTGCGGCCCGCTCGTCCTGGGTCGTGTAATTTTATGACTAATTAGTCAGCTAGTACGTCAAGTTGGTAACTACATAAAAAACCGAAGCGACGACTCCGTTTAGCTTAAGTCCATTACGGAAAAGTGGGCGTCGATCGTCGGGCGTGGCCATTTATTTGCCTTGCTGCGCTTTTAATTGCTTGCTGGCAATTTCTTTCGCCTTTTTATGGCATGTCTCGGCAGCAATTACAGCAGCAGCAGCAGCGGCAGCAACAGGAAGAGAAACAGCAGCAACATTTGCAGCAGCAACAGCAGCAGCAACTGCAGCAGCCTCCGGTGTGTCTACAAAGTTGAGATGCAGTTTTAGTTGGCTGCTGTCGGGCTGTTTTGTTTGGCTTTGTTTTATTTTGCTTTGCTTTTCTTTGTTGCCCGCTTTCGCATTCTTTGTTCTTATTTGGCTTTGTGTAATTTTGCATCATAAAACACACAAAGCACAATACAGAGACCAAGGAAGACCTCCTCCGTTGCAGCTGCATTTTGTGGTTGCTGGAAGCCGGCTTTAAAGCAGTTAAATCAAGCCCTAGGTAGGAAGGCAAGTCTATGCCTAGGGACAAAAGGTACATCCTTCTGCAATTGGTAGACGAAAACTTAAAGGAATATAGTTGATCTGAGTTCAAGAATTGCCAATTGGCAATCGGCAATTGCTATAGCTTTATAGTTTTAAAATCTAAAATACACACAAGTGTAAGTGTTGCATGTAAGTTAGTTATTTTAGTATGGATTTTTACTTGGAAAAAGTACGCATCGGTGCCTAATAGAGATAATATTGTACTCAGCATTTGTCAGGTTCGGCTGAATAGAAGGAACGTTTCACCTAATTAATGAAACATAAAATCAGAAGAAGAGAAGAGGAGGTATGTTGTTAATTTCACAACTGACCAAAGGACGACAGCTCATTTCCGCTGCCAAATGAGCCACATCCGCAGCAGGAACATAATTTTTAGGATGGAACCCGGAAACACACGCTCCAAAGTCAAAGAAACGTAGTGGGATGTCATTGGCGTGCCGGGTTTAAAAAATCTCTTCATACACCCGAGGTTACGGACAAGGCGAAAAAATTTAAATGACAAGCGACTAATGGGAATTGCGAGCAGTTTCGCCGGGCAGGTGGTGCGAAAGTTTGCCACCTCCGGCCATCCTTTGCATCGAAAATCAGCTAACAACACAACAAATGGCTTCATTTATTTGCGTCTTTTGTGCGATGTTGCACGGAACTTCCAGCCACCAGGTGGAAACCGAGGGCAGCTGAAGAAGGTGAGGTGGGTGGGTTTGAGTTTTTCGGGGAGTCTGGCTTAGATCCGGCGCTCTCCAAATCCAAAGTGTGCAAAGTTTACACTGAAAAGGTTGCCGCCTCCGACCAGTGGCAACAAGAAGCGGAAAGAAACATAAACTATTTATATGTACGAGCAAGTTGCAGCTGCACTTTGCAGTGATTGAATGCCCAACACCGACAGCCGTTAATGTGCTTGGGGTTTTTCATTGAGATAAACTTTTGGCTGGCCGGAAAAACACGGGGAAGTCGCACTTTAAAGTTTTCGCCCTATGCAAGCGGAATTTCTACGAAGATTCCCACTAGCTTCTCTAGGGATTAACTTATTTGCTAATTTTAAATAAGTAGTTTATTCATGTTGGTAAATAACATCGTGTTTCCTGCAAACAAAGCACACAAAACATTGGTTCCATTGCAGTATTATAGAACTGCTGTCTAGGTAATTTGGTTGCGATCCTCATTCACCTGATCGTTGCTTTGGAACATCTTTGAGCCAAACTTTTGTCTCCTAGCAGTCAAATCTGAGGTAACCATGCGCTTCATTTCCATCTCCTCCGCATTTACCTTAATGCAGATATCTATGAATAGGCACAGGTCCAGGTTCTTCATTTTCTTGGCCAGCTCGAAGGCCTCGGCCAGAATTTCCTTTTCCCGCTCGATCTTGCCCAGAATCGCGTGGGCCTTGCATATAACCATGAGACTCAGGAAGCTCCAAATTATACTCTTGCACTTGATGGCCTCTGTGGAATCTATTGTTATATTTTGCGGCCTTTGCTTACACTTAACTTACCCTCCAGGGCAATTCGTGCCATGGAGCAAGCTCCATCAAATGAGTTAAAATTCAGATGCTCTTGGGCCAACTCATGCAGCAGATAGGCGCGTTCGATGTGATACTCGGCAAACCGCATTCGGTTCTCCAGCCGGACCACTTGTTTCCTGAAATAAGACATTTTTCGGTAAATGTACATGTACATATTTCTGAAAAAACATACTTAAAATGCTCAGCCTTGGGATCGGTGGCACTCGATCTTGTTATACTCAGAGTACTCGATCGTTTTGTCTTCGATTTTTTCATGTCCAGATTATTATTGAGCGGTAGTCTGAAAAGTGTCAGAAGACGTTGTCTTCCCTGCAAGACAGTCATATTGCTGGGGATTTTGTACTCATTAATGCGGGCTAGACCTAGGTAGTTGTAGACCTCATTAGTGAATTCAAATTTCCACGGCATTACGCGGTTCGTCTTAATGGTGACGTAGTCGCCCATGACCTCCTCAATAAATGTAGTTAGTTTCTACGAATTAATCGAGTTCACAACACAGTTAAATGAAAACCTTGAATTTTAAGCCTCACATTTAGTTCTCCAACACGAATTAGCAGTCGAATACTGCGCAGTATCTTGAACATATTCCGCCTCGTCTGGTACTGAATGCGATATAGATTTTCCTCCCGATGCTTATTATAAAACGCCTCGTTGGGATATTTCTGTTGATGCAAGGCGTACATGGGACTTCGGGTGTGCAGCATTTTCTAAAAATTACATTAGTCACTGCTACGTTATTATCTATTATAATTCAGGTCCAACCGTAAGAGTGCGCTCCGCTTTGTAATTGCTAGCCATCAGCTTGCCCAAGAACTCGGATGACTTTTTGCAATGTTTGGGCTGCACATTGGGATCATCGCGTAGTCTCTTCAGGAAGGCCACATCCACCCAGCACTTGCTCAGATACAGCTGGTTATATATCTTAAAGTGCCTTTTTCGCCTAGCTATTTCCAGTGGCGACAAGTGGGCTTCCTAAATTTTGGATGCGTTTTTAGGTATTCAAGTGAGTATAGTCAGAGTGAAATTACCTCCTTTTCCATTATGCTAATCACGTCGCAAGTATCCTTCATCTCCTTGGATTCCTTAGCCAAACTACCCATCATGCGATTGATAAGCCGCTGTACAGACATAGTGGTATCATCCGATAATGTGTCTCGAAAGTTCTCATTTAACTGAAAAGGAGGTCCACTTAACGCCATTTTGGGATGCTTTGTACAGTGCACTTACCACATTAAGACGGTCGACAACAGGACCTCTTTGGGCGGAGCTGAACCGCTTGAGATGGCAGTGCAGATTTATTTTGGAGTCCTCCAGCCGATTGGACTCGTACAGAGCATCGCAGACTTCCAGACTGACATTGGGATTGGTTACTGCTGGCTTTCGGCTCATCAGCAGATCTGAGTACAAAAAAGGAGAGCTTAAACCATCCCACTTCCAAATGTACGACTAACCCTCTGCCTGTGAGCAATCCTTCAGAGCCTCGGTGGCAAGGCCCATGGATCTCTTCAGCTGACTTCGGCGCATCAGAGCTCTTGCATTGAACGGATTCAGGTCCAGGGCGTTGTTGAAGTAGCGCAGTCCGTTGGCGTACCGCTGCTGGCTGAAGAAGTGCATCGCCCAGTCGGAATACATGGAGCCCAGACGCTCCGGGGACCACGCATGTGCCTCCCATGGCTGCAGGTGCGGCTGCACTCCGGCACTTGGAGCCAGGTGAGCATCCGTTAAGCTCATTTGGCTGGGCATTGCGATATATCAGTTGGTTAGGGGCTTCGGGTCCCAATCAAAGAGGAAAAAAGTAAAAACAACAAGTATAAAAAGAGGTGTATTTTATGTTGACCAATTTGTGTATGTCTGACATTTTGAAGGATCAGGCTAAGGCGAAATCTTAAATGTTTAGTGCTATTTTAATTTCCTCTTTGGCTGTTGGACTCGCGTATAAGTTTTATTTTCTCGCGTATGTCATCTTCGATGCTAATGAGATAGGTAATTTTGATGCCATTTGAGGTTGTATAGGCAGTTGTGCTCGATGACTGGGCATACCACTCAGGAATAGGAGGCAGGCAAATTGGGCGCAGCAGGGTGGAAAATATAAAAGGATCAACTGTGCTGACAAGGGCATTTTGTGAGCTGTAAAAGAGAGGTTATAAACGTACAAGAATATATAAAAATTAAGTCTTACCCTTTATATATACTCTCTAAGAAGTGCACCTTATAGGGGCTCTCATCAAAGTCATTAAAAGCCACCAAGTACTCTCCACTGATAATGGCATATCGCATCACATCGACTGTATCAATGCATTGTTTCTCGACAAGAACCGAGAAAGCACTAATTATTTTTCCCAGGCATCTGAAGGAGAACTTGGACGTGGTCAAGGCATTTGTGAATAGACTCACGGTCCAAGGAGTGTCCTTTACGCCAGGCACTATTATGCCACACTCCGGAACGCATTGGAGGCGATTTTGCTTCTTCCCAAGAATCCAAACCGGAGCGGTAGCCCTTGGAAGTTCCACGCAGGTGCGAGTTTGCCAAGAAGTCTTTCCCTTCGACTTGTAACCTGTAGCGCAGGTTACGTTGGCCAAGGTTCCAATGAACAACTTGCTTGAATTGTCTGTGCAATCCCTAGTATCTCCGTTGTAATGACAGGCAGATCGAATTGAAGGATTCCGGGTAAAAATCCCTCTGCGGCACCGCGAAACGCAATCCGGCCATGGTCCTTGCCACTTTCCATTGCGGCAGAGATTAAGATCACTACCTAACAGCAGTGTGCTGTTGGAGCAACTCAATCGCACTACAGTGAAGTCTGCTATTTCTGAACCCACCCTATAGGGCAGGACATTAAAGAGGGTTTTTACCTGAAGGTGTTTCAGGTTTCCCGGTATTCTGCAGCCCGTCGACTGTTGAACAACCATTCGGATGACATCGAATAAATTGGTTGAAACCATTGGTGTGGTGCGATTTGTTCCATTTCGGGCTTCAGTTAGTGTTGCAGGCGCAAGTTTTCTAAAATTGTTTGCGCATATGGCGTACTCCTCATCCGACTTGTCCCAGCAATCAATTTCCCCATCGCATGCCTTATTTATCGCCAAGCATCCTCCATAGGCACAGCGGAATGTATTGTTGGGGCACTCGGAAATTAGGCAATTGGCAATGGTTTCATCGCTGCCATCCTGGCAGTCCTTGATGCCATCGCAAATGTACTTGTAATCCACGCAATCCGATGTTGATTGACATTTCAAGCTATTTTCTCTGACAAGAAAGAGAATTTAAAACATTTTTTGCAATCATTAAAGGCTTACACCAATCACTCAGCTGAGAAAAATATTAATACTTATTACCCGCACTGAAATCACTTTCTCTATTGAAATGTGTCAACATGCTGAACAAATATATATTGCGTATATTGAACCGGAATATCAAACTTACGGGCATTTAGGCGTTGAAACCTTTTCTTCAGCAGTCATTTGAGTTTGATTTTTGTTGCAAAGGCTTGGGGTTTCGTCTGTTCCGTCCCAACAGTCCAATTTGCCATCACAACGCTGGGTTTCCTGGTAGCAGCCACCATATGAGCACTTGTACTCCTGGCAGATCTCCTTGAAGCACTCAACGAAGCTCTCATCGCTGCCATCGTTACAATCCTTATGAGCATCACATCTACTGAAGCTAGGTATCACTTGGCCATCGCGGCATGTGAAGCCAGATTGTGCTTTAAAATAAAATTGATTTAGTTTCGCATTACAAAATTAATAATCCTAATGCGATATTTAAGAAAAACAAACCTATTTGAAGGAAGGTAAATAGCCAGCATATGATGGACAGCAAAAAATCTCGGTTAATCATTGCTGGTGGAGTTCAAGAACTAAATGAGGTCGAGAATAAGAAATTGGATCGTATATACTTATTGCCTCACAATCTCTCTTTAATTGTTATGTGTTATGTAAAAAGTGAAAGCAGGCAGAGTAATCAGTTTATTTTCCTTGTATAGTACCGAACCTAAATAAGTTATTGGCGACTTTTATATACCCCATCTTAATAGTTAATTAGTAGGGTCTTTTTATTTTATTTATAAATTGGGCTCTAATGCTTGCGGGGAAAAAAGATAAATTATAAACAGAATATAAATCAAATATAAAATATATTATTTTATGAGTTTATTATTTTATAATGTGATTTTAATGTCAGCCTTGATAAATTCAAATTCAAATTAAAAATATTTCAAATGGAATCCCAGGGGTACGAATGTACTTAATATGCGTATATAAGTATTAATAATTAATTACTATTTTAAGAAAAAAAGTATGTAGGCTGAGTTTGCGATTATTTGTAATCCCACTGCTTAAATATACTGATAAGTTCAAAAGCACACGTATGTATTATAAATCACAATCAACTGGACTGGACATTCATCTCTTTTAAAAATAAAATTTATTTGTTATCTCATTTACCCCCAGCTGCGACAAAAAAAGCTAAGATACGTTTGAAATAATTTTTTAACCATGAGCTTAAAAGCGTTTGCGACTCCAGGTCACTTCAGTTTCTCTGAAGTTTTAAATTTTTGTTCAGGTCCATGGTTTACGTTTGAGAGATCTCACAATCACCGAATAGCTTAATCGGTTTACGGCGTGGTGGAACTGCTTTTAGAGTGGATATTGATGAAACTCTTTGGTGACATGTTCGAGTGTTGAATTATAAATTAAAATCCCAATGGAAAGCGGGCTCACTGCGGGGAGTTTGATGTTCAAATGGGTGGAGACTGGGAATGAGGTTGGAACTGCTGTCTGTTTCGTGTTCTGTGCTCCGTGTGGGCTTCAACCAGAACGCCAAGCAACCCACACATCCCCGCAAACAAAATCAACTACAGGGAAAGCTAAAAACTGCATTCGGCGTGGCCGTAGCGGCGTATACGTTATGCGGATTGACTTGAGGCGAGTGGCACCTATGTAGCATCACCGTGCATTGACAAATGAGCACAAATCGCGCTGCCGGTTCGTCGTTGTTTTTATATTGCTGGGGCTCTGTCTATCCCCACTCTGTGTTTTTCCGCTTTTTTTGTGTGTCAACGGAATCAACTGGAAAGCGAAATGGCAGCGCATTTGCATTAAAGTCCCTTTGATTGGGCTTCCAGCAGGGATTTGTACACTTTTAGTTCACATCCATCCGTATGATCTTGCATTTCATGTTGGGGGATTCTCTTCAATTGAAAGTTGGATAGACTAAGCGTTCACGTTTTATCAAACGCACTTAAAGCTGGGTAACCCCGTTAAAAATGAATATACATATGTAATATGTAAGTAAATTAATATCACATATATATTTTTTGCCTCTAATCGGCGAAATTGCCGTTCCTGGCACCTTATCACAAGTTTTTTTTTTTTTTTTTTTTTTTTATTGTAGTTTATTAAGATATACAGGATAGCTATGAACCCTTTTATTACCTTATTTTCTATTGTTTCTGCCAATTGGCGCTCCGGCTATAGGGAATATTTAATATAGCTTTTTCTAGTTTGGTCTAATACTCTCATGTTGTTTTATAATTAATGTTTAGCTATTAAGCTATTGTTATCTTAGCACTAAGTCTCTTGGTTGACGTCTTTTGATCCTCTGCCTCGGTCGAGTAATGGTGAGATCATTAGCGAGACGATTCCTGTGGTTCATCAGTCTTGAGTTGTACCGACTGGAGTGGAAGTTGATTTGTTGTAGTACCGTAACTAGTTTTAGGTCCCTATGTAGCACGCTATTTCGAATGTACCACTCACAGCCTGTAATTTGTCTCGCTATTTTGTTCTGGGCCACCTGAATTTTTTTGATTTGGCTATCTCTTGCTATCCCCCAGATTTGGCAACCATATTGCCAGATGGGAGCAATGACCTGCTTGTATAGGGTGAGCTTATTTCGGGTGGAGAGTTTACTGTTGCTTCTTAGGAGCCACCAGTGCTTTGTCACAGCTGCTCTCACCCTTGTTTTGATGGCTGCTATGTGGGGAGCAAATGTGAGCCGGCGATCTAATGTTATGCCAAGATATTTGGCCGTACTACACTGCTGTACCATCTCCTCACCTAGTTGAACAGCAGGTGGTGTTTTCCTCCTTAGTGAGAAGCACACGTTAGCTGACTTTTGACCATTTATGCCAATATTCCATCTTCTTGCCCATTTCTCGTACCTGTCAGCGTACTCTTGTAGGCCGTCTGCTGCTTCATATTCGCAGGATGATCTGTAAGTAACACAGACGTCATCGGCGAAAGTGGCTAGAGTCATCCTGTCAGGGTTGGCGTCCATACTAGCATTTGGCTGCGGCATATCGTTGGTATACAGACAGTACAATAATGGACCCAGTACACTTCCTTGAGGCACTCCTGCACTGACCTCATGTATCCCTGAGGTTGCGGAGTGGAAACGTACTGCGAACTGCCTATTCGCCAAGTAGGACCGCATTAGCAAGTAATACGGTGCTGGTAGTGTCATTTTTATTTTGGCCAATAGGCCAATATGCCAGACTCGGTCGAATGCTTCCTTAATGTCCAAAAAGAGCGCATTGCAGTATTCTTTCTCATCGTAGGCTTGCAATATTTGGTCAACGATGCGGTGCAGTTGTTCTATTGAACTGTGACCTGCACGAAATCCAAATTGGTGATCAGGGATGGCTCTTCTGGATGACATTATCCCAGCAATTCGGGCAGAGATAAGTCTCTCAAAGATCTTCGAGATTGATGGGAGGAGACTGATTGGCCGGTAGGATGCTGGGTCACTCTCTGGCTTTCCGGGCTTGTGGATCATACTCACTAAGCCAAATTTCCACTGGGCAGGGAAGTAATGCAACCTCAACATAGCGTTGAAGATCAACGTTATGTAAGAGATCGCGTGAGTAGGCAGCGCCTTCAGAGTAGCGTTGCAGATGATGTCGTGGCCTGGTGCTCTTTTAGAGGATTGGCGGTTTATGATCGCTGATATCTCACATTGGTCGAACGGGAGAATCGGTGCATCCATTTGCAGCGCTTGCTCGAGGACTTCCTGCGTTTCTTGTTTTTCCTGTTGGCTGGCAAGGTTAAAGGGCTTGAACCGTTCAGCTAAGTGCCTAGCAAACACTTCCGCTTGTTCCTTGTCAGAACGACACCATGTTCCGTTCTCATTAGCTAGTGGTGCCTTCCTGGGGCACCTCCTTTTTATACTACGCGTCGCTTTCCATAGAGAATGCCTCGCTTCGCTTCCAGTACCAGTGTTGGTAAGCCTCTCGTCGAACCATGCAGCTTTATGGTCCACCAGTTTCTTACGGAGAATATGTTGAGCTCTGTTCCACTCTAATTTGTCTAGAGGGTGGCGGGACCTCATCCATCTTGTCCGAAGTCGTCTCTTTTCAGCAATTAAAATAAGAATTTCCCGTGTGAGGGGTATACCTGCTGCTACGGGTCTCTGTGTCAACGTTCGTGTAGCTGTTATGGCTGCCGATTTCACCTTTACAGCAAATAGGTTGATTGCGTCCTCAATATCTTCTTCTGAGTTGATTTCTATATCAAGATACAGAGATTGCTCTAGAAGACCGCAGAACATTTCTAAGTTGGTGTGTCTGGTTATCAATCGATCTGCTGTAGGATATGTCAATGCTGTGACATCCAGCGTTATGATAAGAGGCAGGTGATCAGAGCTGAGATCAGGAGCCGATGTTATGGAAGCATGAATATCGAGAACGCCTTTCGTTACTGCAAAATCAATGCAGCTTGGAGTTCCTCTCCTACCGTACGGATACCGAGTAGGACTGCCTGTAGCCAGCGTGTTGACTTCCGTACTAAGAATAAGATCCGCGAGAGCGCGACCTCTTTGATTGCATCTTCCTGAGCCCCAGAGCCAGTGAGATGCATTCCAGTCTCCTGCAATTATAAATTTTCGATGATTTAGCGGTAGTATGTCAGCAAATTCATTTGTTGTCCATGTGAAACGAGGAGGACAGTAAATCGCACCAAAGTCGATCACACCAAGCGCTGTGTTTATTCCTGCAGACGCTATTTGTACTTTTTCGCTGGTAACAGGGCTCAGAGGATAATGCACCAAGCTAGATTTTATAAAGATCGCAGCTCCTCCTCTAGCATTGCCAACACTTGGATCATTAGCTGGATATGCATCAAAACCATATATTTTTGGCACAAAGTTTCCTCGGCAGTGAGTCTCACTAATTAGTATGACATCGATCTTATTTTGTCGCGCAAAGCACTCAAGCTCTGGCAGCTTCGTGGAAACGCCATCGGCGTTCCACATTAGAATGCGCAGCGGCATCATATTGTTGATCGTTGCGCTTGGAGGGCAGCAAGCAAATTAAGAATTTGCCCCTGCTGCTGTGTCTGCTGTTGCTGCTGTTTGAGCATCATCATCATCATCTCCGTCTGTTTATCCTGTAACGAGCGGAGTGAATCGATATTTCCATTGAGGGTTCGCATCATGTTTTCAATGTTATTTTCAAGAGATGAGTGATATGCCGTATTTCGGGATCTCGATGCTGAACGGTTGCGGTTGTTGTCTCGTTGAGCTGCAACTCGAGATCTCGATGTCGAGCGGTTGCGGCTGTTGGTTCGTTGGTTTATGTTTGGGTTGTTCTGCTGTTCATGTTGAGAGACATGCACGCCTCCCCTAGCTGCATCTGCATAGGAGACACCTTGACGAGTGGCTACTCTTGGTCTGCTCCTAGTTTGATCATTTGTCTCGGTTTGGCTATTCACAGTAGGCCGAGCTCCAACTCCACGCTTGGGCCGAGATCGTTGCAGGAACGCCTGGTATTTGGGGCACCCTGAATAGCTTGCAGGGTGCTGTTGTCCGCAATTGTAGCACGTGCACGGTTCACTGCGCGGCCTAGTACAGTTGCTGGCAGCGTGCTCGCCAGCACATTTGACGCAAATATGCGCTTTACGACAGTATTTAGCCGTATGGCCAAACTGTTGGCATCGATGGCATTGCACAACAGCATTGCGCTTTCGGAGGGGCTCAACGATAACCCGCATATGGCAAAGTGCCTTGACTAGCAGGATCTCCTTATTATTGGCCGCGGCGGCAATATTCACGAAGAACATATTTACCGGCTTGGCTACAGGGGTGCCTGGCTCACTGCGCCTCTGGGGCAGATGGACGTCAAGCACCTTGTGTCCGAATTTTTCCAGATCCTCCTTAATCTGGCTATGAAGCGTGCTGTGGTGTAAGCCTTTAATGCAGACTTTAAACGGCCTATCTTCCTTCAGTTGGTAGCAATGGAATTCATATTTTTCCTGCTCAAGCCAACTGACAATGCTACGAAAAGTGGTAGCGTCATTTGCATAGAGTCTCATCATACCGCCAAGTGAAGCCCTAGCTTCAACTTTATTTATGTCAATTATTTTCCTGAGTTCTTGCATGAGCAGAGAGACGTTTTCAATACCTTCCATCACTATGGGCGGTGGTTTGGGCTGCGTCTTGTTGGGAGAACCTGAGGTGCCAGGAGAGTTAGCGGCCCGCTTCGCCGCAGCAATGGCAGCTTGATGACTTGTACTAGGCCTCTCACATAGCACGTCGTTGGCGTTCTCAACTTCCATGTCATCTGGGTGAAGCGCTAGCAATTCGAAACGGTTTGAGCTGCCACTATAGTTCGATTGAGGTATGGGAACGTTATCACCGTTCTTGCCGAGGTTAGCTTTTTTCCCATCAGTCTTTGGGGAGGCGCATGACTTGCGCTTTATTGTTTGAAAGCGCTGCGAGGCTTCACCTGAAGCAGGGCTTTGGTAGCGCGAGGCGGTTCCTGATGTGGACCCATTGACGCTCGAAAAAGCAGATGCCAATGAAGCTGCTGTGGCGGCAAAATCGGATACTTGTAGAGTATCATTATCTGAGGGCGCGTTGACGGCATTTCTAAGTTCCTCTCCTAGAACTGCCTTGTTCTTATTAGTAGCACTAGTAGTCGTTGACTGCGGCTTGTCAAATTGTCCGGGTTTCATCGCACGCCTAAGAGTATGCAATAATATCAATTGATCTTGGGGCAGAATAGAAACTAAAAGCTTCTATCTGATACATAGGCCAGAACTTATCTGCTGCTGGAACCAAATGGTAAGCTCCTCACAGATGTTTGTTATCACAAGTGACGTCAATACGAATAATTCATAAGATGGGATGTTCATTCTGCCCAGTGGGAAGCATTCAATCCGGAATTTACGGATAAGACCTCATATTGATAATACGCTAGATAGTCTGAGGAAATTATTTTGTGCTCACCGAAACTAATAATCAGAGGCTTACGAGATCCATTACCGCAATCCGAGTCTCAAGGCGAATAAGAAATAATGTTTTCTCAACTTTCCGCCCAACTTAGCAGCTCCAGAGGAGCACTGAGGACGGACAGTGGATAGCGGGATGGGTGTGCAAAGTTGCGCAAACCGGGCTCTTATCCAATTAAGTCATAACTCAATATGTGCTGAGAGATATGCACTTGGCCATTACTTAGGCAAAAGGCAAAAATTTGCTCTAATAACTTTTGAGTTTGCGCTTTCTTCCGTCTTCCTTGCCGGCGCTTGCCAGGAAGATAATTTTCACACCAGCGCCATGTAATTTGCCCTTCTGGGGCGAAGTTTTTGGAAGCAACAGCTTCCCATCCCAATTCCATGCCCGATCCCTCAGTTCCAGTTCCCCAGCTCCCTTTTTCCCCTTTATGGCACCAGCGAGGCGCTGCCACAACTCATTTGGCATTGACCAGGATTGGACGTTGCCGCAGTCCTCCGTGACTGGGTCTACGGGCAGTCCTGCCCCCCATCTGGATCCCCCAGCCAGCGGCTTCATCCACATCCGTATCCCTCATCCATCTGGCGTTGAGAGAGCGCGCGCATAAATTATTCATTTGTAATGTGCAGCATCTCTGGCCCTTGCTGCTGCACTGAGAAAATAAAGTAAAGTGGGGTATGTATATTATATGATCCCAAAGGGTACTCAAGGCGACTGCCGAATCGGGGATTCGTTATTTGCTATATAATAATTTGTAAGCCTTTTTAGTTTTAATTTTTGGTCAAGCCTATAGATGCGCAATGCTCACTGAATTGAAATGAAACGAGTGCCAGCACATTCTCTCTGTGGACATCCAGCTACTGGATCCAGAGTCTGGATTCCCGGGCCGAAGTTCTGTGTGCACTTTTGGCACAGGATATGACACTGACACTCAGCGCCGGCGCTCGTCCTGCGTCAACAACTTCCTTGGCTGCTGCTGGCGTTTACTTTGGTTTGTAATTTCCTTCTGGAGCTGGGGCCGTGGCTAAAAGAAACACAGCAAGAAATGGCACAGAAACCCCAAGAAGTGCACGGGAACACGACGATTGCAGCTGGACGGGTCTGGGTCTCCTCCCGAGTCCCAGAACTCATCCTTTGCTGGTTTACCGCTTTCCACCGGGGAACGGCTCCGGCTCCGGCTGCAGCAATTGCAAACTTAAAGTTTGCTCTGCTTTTTGTGTGTGTTAAAAGTTGCATTTGCGAATTGAAAAATTATTTCCAGTTGCTTATGTGTATGCAGAGTGTGTCACTTACAAGATGGTCGGACTGAAGCTCTGAACTTTGGCAGCGAAGCGAGCAGCCCGTTTCAATGACAAAATAGAAAGTTGTTGACTCGGTTTCCTTTCCAGCTCCTGAGCATACGTATTTAACCAGGACCAGCTTCCAAGTAGGCGGCACTTTTAATTACAGGCACAAACACGACCCGGTTATTTTTTAATATCATACGTTCCTCGCTTGATCTTCTTAAGCCATAAACAGTGGTGGAGCCGCACATGGAGGCGGAGGCCCATTAATTAATTAAAAATGTAATGGAAAAGCCTAATGGAGTGAGGTGTAGACTCTGGCCAAACTATGGAGCCGCAAAATGAATAGCATGCAATTCTCTTGCCTGGCTTAAGTGGTGTCACTGAGGTAGGAGCTGATTGCCACGGAATACATTCTGGAGTAGGGTAATTTGATAATAGCAAATTGTATTATATTATAAAGTTGCACGTCACTGGCAAGCACGAAATTGGTCAACCAAAAAGTTAAATTTGCTCGAAAAGTGAAGAAAGTTCTGCCAAACTAAATAATTTAATTATGCAGACCATTTGGCCATTGACAAATAGGAAACTACCTAATTATCCCATTTTTATATTGTACGCTCACCGTAATTGGTGGCTTTTCTAAGCACGCTGCTGTAAATAAAATTCATAATAGTAGGTTAAAGGAAACCAGCTTTTTCATAATATAATGATTATACCAATTGTTCTGTCTTTTTTAGCCGAATACAAAATACTGAGCACGTACTGCGTTGGTAAAATTAGTGCTTTAATTATTATTTATTTATTTTCGAATGCTTGTAATCGTCGCTTCATTAACTTTTAGCTCTTCATAATGGCAAGGATTAAAGTCATAATTTTTTAAGCACCCAGTACTTGGATTTAAAACGACTTTGTTGACTTCGCTTGACCACAAATTTGTCAACAGGCATGGCCACCACACACACACTCGCACACAGAAATCATGGCCAAAAGCCGCAGACACGCACGTGCCATGCAAAAGCGGAAACGGAAACACGCCATGTGAGCGCCTGTGTGTGGTGCTTGTTTATTGACGTTTGCACAGTCTTTGGCAATTATTTAGTTACAGCTTGTTTATTTGTGTAGACGTAGAGCGGATATAAAAGTTTGCTGGTTTAAATGTGTGCGAAAAAAAGTGATGGTTGCGAATTAGTTTGTGGCTCCTACACAAGTGCACAAAATGTTCCAGCGGATGCACATGCGACTCAAATTAATGGATGCGGATGCTGGGTGACGGCGTCATGAAATTCTTTACTGTTTTAACATAATTAAAATTCCAAGCTTATTACAGTCGGTTACATACTTCTGCCATGGCACTCATAGTTTAAACTGATTGCGGGCAGCCTCATTAAAAGGCCAACCGTGGAAGAACATTTCGCATGCACTTCAACTTGACAAGCTTTTGGCCCCCAACAATTGAATTCAAATTAGGCCAAAAACCGAAGCCCTTGTAGATTTTACATACCAATTTATTTCTTTACATTTATCAATATCTGATAACGAATATGTATCCTATTCGATAACTAAGAAAGATAAAAGAAGCATTACCAGTATTCTAATTAGATGCTGAGCTTGTAGTTACTTATTCTCTCAGTGGACTTGTCAAACCAGAGACTGTCTCTTAACTAATAACCGTATCCACTAGCCGCCTGCTTGTGACAGGACATTGCCTAATTAAAATGGCAAATCATTAGCCACAAACAAGGACTTTGCCAAAACTCGTCGCACGGTAGCACAAACAACAACATGCGAGGCAGCACCACCGCATTGAGATGCAAATTTATGCACTGCCTGGTCAAAAAACAGACCGACAGTGGTCCAAAAAACCCAAACCTCTTCGAACCCCCAAAAACGAGCCATCAAAATTATGCAGATACGCACATACGGACACATTTAGCGCAGATACATTGACACATCTGCGGAACTTTACACTGGCGTCCATGATGAATTTTCGGAACTGCGTTTTAGCCAGATTGGAAATAAATTTAAATTTGATAAACGATTCGTTGGCCAACTTTTGGCTGCGCATTTGTCGCCCAGACGATAATTGATTGGGTTGCATGATTTTCATGAAACTTTTCGAGCCAAAAGGATTTGCAACTTATGGGATAATTAATTTCCATACTATTTAGCTGGTCAATACAGCAGCTCGCTTACTTGGACGTAATAGTAAATGTACTGATTCCAGCAGTTATCTATTTAGTCATTAAGCTTAGCTTAAACATAAAAATAAAAGTTTCTGAAAATTATATTCGTCAATCAATTGCCACAAAATGCGAACAGATGACTCAATGTACCGAAAGTATAAAAGAGCTACTTAGATCACACGTTCTGCACCATTTAAATACGTTGTTCATATGGATATGAGTGTGCTGCATTTTGGGATTTTCGGAAAGGTTTAGAGGGGCCAGGATATCCCCGCGTTGAACGCGTATCTGTGCACCATGAGACCATCGACAGGCTCCGCGAGAACATCGCACTCAAGCGGCTTTTATGACATCGCCAGAGGGCCATTGAAGTCCTGCCAGTGTCCTGACATCCTGCTTGTCCATGGGCTCGTCGAGTGTCCTAGTGGCTGGCGCTCCTTCCTGTTTATAGTTGACCGACACTTGTCATACTCCGTGGCATGTTGAAATGGATGGCCCACTGCGGATGGGCGGGGAGTTGCACTTTTAAAGAGCGAGAGCCAGACGATACATAAATTCCAATGCAAAGTGCCATGTCCCACACATAGATCATGATGTCCGGCCCGCATGTGGGTTCAAGATACCACTGGTATCTGCCTGGCTTTTCTAGGCTCACTTTCCGGAGTCCTAAAAGAGTCATTCTGTGGCTTGGCAATTAAGTCAATGCTAACGATGCCGACCCAGACGCCCCATGCACACACAAGCCAGATTCAGATACAGATACAGATACAGATATAAACAGTCGCACACTCGCCACATTTGTCTCGGTGTGGAAAAATACGTAGGCAGCAATAATTAATTAGATACACAATAAATTACTCATACGCCAGTGGCAGCCCACAAGAGAAAAGAGACAAAACGTGTATACTTTTTCACAAGGCCTGGAAACGATGGAGCGAGTGGGAGTCGCTGGACTTGGAAGCAATTTATGTTGAATTTTCAACCTTTGGGAATCCATCCCAGGTTATTCATGGCAGACACTCGCAAGAGCAATCAAGCAATGCCAAAGATACAAGCTGGTTCTTCATTTAAATAGACAGCAAAAATTGCACACAACTGCGTACTACAAGTTCTTTAAAAGTCGCAATGCCAGACTTTCTTATGAACGAAATGTTTTTGGCTATAAAGTTCTTTATATCTTCAGATTTAACATTCAAATACTAATTTTAAGCTGCGACTGGTGTACGAGTATCCATAGAACAGAGTTCAATGGATTAATAGATTTAAGTCAATATTCCTAAGCGACAGCTAGCTGAAATGTTTTCGTGCGTACTTTCTGCACTTACTAAAAGGACAAACAGTAAAGAAAACCGGGAGGAAAGAGCTCGGAAATCACTATACAATGAAAGAAACTGAGGGCGAAATAAAATCCGGCACGGATTGCTTGGGCTGGGGAAATACGACAACAGAAAGGGAGGCAACTGTAACGGCAACAAGAACTATAATTTCCTAAAGGACTTAATTATTTTATAATAAGCACATGACGCCAGAGAGGAGCGGTGCGCAGAGGTATTAGCCCGTCTGCAGGACTGCGGCGGAAAGGACGAAAGGAAGCCTCAGAAATGCAGCGCAAAAGTTGCAAAAGTTTTTCTCCACTCGACAATCGGTCAAAAAAGTGGAAGGAGGGAGGTATACTGCCAGAGGGGCGGTGGAAACCACAAGCATAAATAGTGAAAATATAACAGATTGTTGTTTTCGTTTTGCACGCTTTTCCAGCAACTCTGCAGCTTTGCTTTTTAAATAAGTTTATGGCCGAGTGAATCTGAGCAATTAATATTGATTTGCAAAAGTTGTTGCGGCTCCCTATTCAGCTTTTGGTTACGCTTCTTGGCCAGGGCCAAGATTGAACGCGGCTGCCATAAAGAAATAAAAATAAACAAGTCCCCTAAATAGACTCCTATGCAAATATAAAAGCAACAGAAGCTCCAAAAGATTGGAAGCGGCCGAAGTAAGCCCAAACTTAAATTAATTCCGTCAGTCTATTAGCTGGAAATTAAAGTTGGCTTTGTCTTATTTAATTAGCTCTTCAGTCATATCTCGATTAAAGCCGATTTGC